ACTGTCAGCGAGCAGTGCTGTCAGCAGTAGCAGCAGGGGCAGTGACATGGCCTAGGGCGTGATCGTATAGTGAGATGTCATCCTTGGCTGTGAGCTGTAGGTAGAGGTGCAGGTCATCGAGCCAGGTGTCAAACTTCACAGGGCGGCCCTCAGTATCGAACACGAGAACCTGTGGGCTAGCCATAGGAACAGTAGAAATAGCAGCAGTAGCAGTAGGAGAAGCAGGTAGGACGAACCAGGTAGGGCAGGGCGGCGCGGCTCGGTTCAGGTCGGGTCGCGGCTCGGCTGGGTGGCGCGGCTCGGTTCAGGGCGCGCGGCTCGGCTCGGGGCGCGCTGCTCGGGTCACGGCGGGGACGGGCCGCCCGCTCTCCCTCGTTTGCTGCGGCGGGAACGGGCCGCCCGGGGCCTCTAGGTGGTGGGCACGGGTCGGCGAGGTCGGCACGAGGCCGGTTGGGGCCCTAGAGGGGCGAGCGCGGGGCCAATCGGGGCGTGAGCGGGGCTAGCGCGGGGCCAAACGGGGCCTTGACGGGGCTAGCAAGGGGCCGACGGGGCCTGAACGGGGCTAGCGCGGGGCTGATGGGGCCTGAAACGAGGCCGACGGGGCCTGAAACGGGGCTAGCGCGGGCCCGATCGGGGCCTGAATGGGGCTAGCGCGGGGCCGACGGGGCCTGAGAGGGGCTAGCGCGGGGCCGACGGGGCCTGAGAGGGGCTAGCGCGGGGCCGACGGGGCCTGAAACGGGGCTAGCGCGGGCCGACAGGGCCTGAGAGGGGCTAGCGCGGGGCCGACGGGGCCTGAAACGGGGCTAGCGCGGGCTGACGGGGCCTGAGAGGGGCTAGCGCGGGGCCGACGGGGCCTGAAACGGGGCCAACGGGGCCTGAAATGGGGCCAACGGGGCCTGAAACGGGGCTAGCGCGGGCTGACAGGGCCTGAGAGGGGCTAGCGCGGGGCCGACGGGGCCTGAAACGGGGCCGACGGGGCCTGAACGGGGCTAGCGCGGGGCCTGAACGGGGCCTTAAAGGGGCCGACGGGGCCTGAACGGGGCCGCTAGGGAGAGCGGGCGTGGGGCCGACGGGGCCTGAACGGGGCTAGCGCGGGGCCGTCAAGAGGGGCCTCTAGGGGCGTGACACGCCGAGGCGCCCTAGGGCACAGGTAGGTAGGTAGGTAGGTAGGTAGTTACGTAGTGGTGGGCCCTTAGAAAATTCGGTCCTAGGAAGGACCTGCTCTATATCATGTTGGAATCACTGAACAGGAATGGATGAACTAGCAGTGAAATGAGTACAAGTACCTAACCGTAGAATTGTGTACCCCCTATAGGCTAACCCACTGTAGCCTAAACTAACACAACATATATAATGTTTGACAGCGACTCGGGAGTGGTTCGGTGCGACAAAATACGAAGGACAGGTTCGTCGCGTGACCCTCGGGATGGCCTCGCTAAGGAGTTTTCATGTGCTTGATAAAACGTTTCACGGAATCTGTCACAATCAATTGGGAAAAAAGATAATACCCAAAACGAACCTGGATGCATTTTTGGATGAATCAACCCTAAATACAACTCACCAGATGTTTAGGGTTGATCCGTTCCCAAACCGCATCCGATTTCGATTGGGTTTTTGTTTTCTTAGAAGCTAGCTGATTGGTTAGGCGCAAACGGGAATTTGAGTTTTGTTACCGGTGCAATGAATCGAAGTAGCGAGAATTGCACTTAGGTGTCAAACGAGTACAAAAAGTGAGCGAAGGCATGAGCAAACATTTATACGCGAAATGTGCGAACGGTAACGCGGTGCGTGCGCGCTAGCTAGTGCTACGCTGGAGGCGAGGCTTAGGCTAGTCGCGAAGCGTAGGCCGATACGGCCGGTCCAGCAGTGCGAGGTTTGGTGAAATAGTGCGCGCGAAGTCGGCGAAGCCTCGTTAGCAGTAACGGGCGAACAACGGCTGCTGCTGTATGCGATGTTGCAGGGCGCGCTAAGGAATAACGAGAAAATCCCTTACACTACCCCCCCCCCCTCAAGAAGCCCCCTCCGCTACGCGAGTGCGTGTATATCGCGGAAACCCCGGCTCCTCAGGTACACTTGCAGGGCAGGGTGGTTTTCTATGTTGGCCAGGGGCACCCAGCTATCTTCAGTTGGAGTGCGATCCTTCCAGCGAACGAGGAATTTAATCCTCCTAATTCCCGTGGGGTGTCGAATCCGATTGCTCATGATCTTTTCGGGCTCGATGATTGGCTCCGATGCAGGGCGAGTCATGGATGGCGGGCGGTGACGAGGCAGTTGGCTGGTGGTTGGGATGTATGGGCGAAGCAGGCTGACATGGAATGAAGGGCTGATGTACCAGTCCGTCCGCAACAGTAGGTGGGCTGTCTCTGGGATAATCATGTGGCTGATTTGGAATGGTCCACAGTAGGGGGGTCGCAATTTCGGTACGACGGGCAGTCTTAGGTTTTGTGTGTCGAGCAGTACGTAGTCTCCTGACTGGTACGTGACTGGGCGGCGGTGGCGGTCTGCGTTGCGCTTAGCGATGACATTGGCTTTTTTAATTGCTTCTGCGGCTCTGGTGCGGGCAGCTTGTTGAATTTCGGCGAATTGCTGTGCACGTGGTGATGGGTTGTCCGGACTCGGCGTCATGGGCATTGTAGGATTTTGCCTGTAGTTAAGGTAGAACGGGGACTGCTGCATCGTCGCTGACGTGGCGTTGTTGTACGCAAACTTGATCAGCGGCAGCTGCTGCTCCCAAGTGGTCGGTTCGTCGCACGTGGCACGAATCAACTGCTCCATCGTCTGATTCGTCCGCTCCGTTTGACCACCGGTCTTGGGGTGGTACGACGAGCTGAACTGTAGCCTGGTCCCGAACTACTCCCAGAGGTTTTTCCAGAAGTTGCTCGTGAACTTCGTGTCACGGTCGTTGATTATCGCGGCTGGTATCCTGTGAAGTCGAACGACGGCTGCGATGAACAGGCGAGCGGTTTGTTCGGCTGAGATCGATTTCTTGCACGCAGCGAAGTGTGCCATCTTTGTCAACTTGTCAACGACGACCATAACTGCGTCGTTACCCCCAGGGTTCGAAGGTAACCCCGTGACAAAATCCATGGTAACCTTCTACCAGGCGCGCTCAGGCGGTGGAATCGGCTGCAACTGACCCGCCTTTCTTTTTCGTGAGCCCTTCATCACCTGACACACAGGACGCGAGCCCACGTGGTGGTGTACATTGGTCAACAGCTCCGGCCAGTAGTAATACCGCTACAGTTGCTGTTGCGTTTTCTCTAGCCCGAAATGTCCTGAGGTAATCCCGTCGTGTGCCTCCTGCAGTAACACTTCCCTCAGTAGTGAGTACGCGGGTACCCAGATGCGGTTGGTGCCTGTTTTTACGTAATAGACTCCTTTGGCCTCTCCCAGTTGCTGTGAATTCCCGGTCGTGAAAAATGGGTCGGTACTGTATCTGTGGGTGAATAGGCCAGCTAACAGTGGGTTGGTTTGGGCGAGTAGGATGGCGTGGAGTTGGGCGGTGGGGCGTGTGAGTGCATCGGCGATGTTGGATGCACCATTTTTATACGTGACCATATAGTGGAAGTTGTTCTCCAGATAGTCCAACCAGCGGATCTGTCGTGGGTTGAGATTCGGTTGGGCGCGAAGGTACTGTAGGGATCGGTGGTCTATTCGTACTGTCACATCTGCTCCTGTGAGGTAACATCGCCACACCTTGAACGCGTGCACGATCGCCAACATCTCGCGGTCGTGTATCGGGTAGTTGCGTTCGAGCGGGTGAAGCTTACGGGTTTCGTACGCGATTGGCTGGAGGCCGTTGCCGAAGTCTTGCAACAATACTGCTCCCACAACGATGTCGCTAGCATCGGTGACGAATTCGAACGGACAGTGCGGATCTGCGATGTGGAGCACGGGCGGTGAGCACAAAATGTTTTTGAGGGCCGAGAAGGCAGCTTGCTCTTTCTCCCCCCACGTGTACTCAACCCCCTTCCGCAGCAGGTCGGTCAACGGGGCAGTCTACTGCGCCATGTCGGGGACGAACCGGCGCACGTAGTTGACGATGTGAAGAATGAGGAATGTGAAATGAGAGAAGAGGGGGTTCACTAGCAAACATTGGGATACATATAGCAAACCCTAAAGGGTTGTACTCACTATAGATTACCCTACTGCAGACTAGAGAAACATAATATTCTGACACACCCCCATAGTCAAAGTGGGGTGTAATCAGCACAGCAAGCAAAGCAAAACAAGCTCAGGGTGGATCACAATGTCACCACCCATTCTGAGCACAAGTACAAGAAGCAACAGTTTAAAGTTCACAAATGTAAGCAAAGCTAGAGGCTATCGCAGAGGGCAAGTGTGGAGGAGGGACTATGAGAGGAGAGGAGGTAGTGGGCGGCAGCTGAAGATGCTGGCACACGGCGCAACTGGAGCAACTGGCACACAGGCAACTGGAGCAACTGGCACACTGGCAACTGGAGCAACTGGCACACGGGCTACTGGAGTAACTGGCTCCGCGGCTAACTCTGAGCGGCAGGAGCAACGGACTCACGGGCGACTGGAGCAACGGGCTCACGGGCGACTGACGCAACGGTCTCACGGGCGACTGGAGCTGCTGGCTTCACGGCGGCCACCCCCTCCAACCTCCCCAAACTATCCCACCCCCATTTCACACACCCCCTATTGCACCCCTAGGTTCACTCACACCCCACCCCGTAGCACCACTCCGTCGACTCCCACACACCCACCCCCCTCAGCGGCAGCTGCAGCAGTGGGAGACAGAGGAGGAGGAGGAGCAGGGGAGACCACACACCCGCCACCCCCCACTCGCCACCCCCAAACCCGAACACAGGGCAGGGCGGGATGGTGGGTAGGGAGGTTACACGGGGGGGGGGGGGGGGGGGGGGGGGAAGGGGGGGGGGGGGGGGGGGGGGCGACGCGCGGCCTCCCAGGGCGCCAAATCAGGCGGCAGAAGGGGCGACGCTCGCCCCCCCCCCCCCCCTAGGCACGCGGCCCCCTCAGGTCGCCTCGACAGGCGACGGGAAAAGGGGGGGGGGGGGGGCGGTGCACGTGCCCCCGGTGCGCCGCGGCTGGCGACGGGGCATGGCCGGGGCGGGGCCGGGGCCGCAAGTGGCGGCGACGGGGCCGCTGGCGGCGACGACGGGGCCGCTGGCGGCGGCGACGGGGCCAATAGGAGCGGCGACGGGGCCGCTAGGGTCGGCGACGGGGCCACTGGCGGCGGCGACGGGGCCGCAGGCGGCGGCAACGGGGCCGATAGGAGCGGCGACGGGGCCGCTAGGGTCGGCGACGTGGCCGCTGGCGGCGGCGACGGGGCCGCTGGCGGCGGCGACGGGGCCAATAGGAGCGGCGACGGGGCCGCTAGGGTCGGCGACGGGGCCGCTGGCGGCGGCGACGGGGCCGATAGGAGCGGCGACGGGGCCGCTAGGGTCGGCGACGGGGCCGGTGGCGGTGGCGGCGGCGACGGGGCCGCTTGCGGCGGCGACGGGGCCGATAGGAGCGGCGACGGGGCCGCTAGGGTTGGCGACAGGGCCGCTGGCGGCGGCAACGGGGCCGCTGGCGGCGGCGACGGGGCCGATAGGAGCGGCGACGGGGCCGCTAGGGTCGGCGACGGGGCCGCTGGCGGCGGCGACGGGGCCGATAGGAGCGGCGACGGGGCCGCTAGGGTCGGCGACGGGGCCGCTGGCGGCGGCGACGGGCCCGCTGGCGGTGGCGACGGGGCCAATAGGAGCGGCGACGGGGCCGCTAGGGTCGGCGACGGGGCCGCTGGCCGCGGCGACGGGGCCGCTGGCGGCGGCGACGGGGCCGATAGGAGCGACGACGGGGCCGCTAGGGTCGGCGACGGGGCCGCTGGCGGAGGCGACGGGGCCGATAGGAGCGGCGACGGGGCCGCTAGGGTTGGTGACGGGGCTGCTGGCGGCGGCAACGGGGCCGCTGGCGGCGGCGACGGGGCCGCTGGCGGCGGCGACGGGGCCGATAGGAGCGGCGACGGGGCCGCTAGGGTCGGCGACGGGGCCGCTGGCGGCGGCGACGGGGCCGCTGGCGGCGGCGACGGGGCCGATAGGAGCGGCGACGGGGCCGCTAGGGTCGGCATCGGGGCCGCTGGCGGCGGCGACGGGGTCGCTGACGGCGGCGACGGGGCGGATAGGAGCGGCGACGGGGCCGCTAGGGTCGGCGACGGGGCCGCTGGCGGTGGCGACGGGGCCCTTGGCGACGGCGACGGGGCCGATAGGAGCGGCGACGGGACCGTTGGCGGCGGCGATGGGGCCGATAGGAGCGGCGACGGGGCCGCTAGGGTCGGTGACGGGGCTGCTGGCGGCGGCGACGAGGCTGCTGGTGGCGGCGACGGGGCCGATAGGAGCGGCGACGGGGCCGCTAGGGTCGGCGACGGGGCCCGAGGCGGCGGCGACGGGGCCGCTGGCGGCGGCGACGGGGCCAATAGGAGTGGCGACGGGGCCGCTGGCGGCGTCGACGGGGCCGATAGGGGCGGCGACGGGGCCGCGAAGGGGCTGCGAGGGGCCTGGAAGGGCGTCGACGGGCCGCGAAAGGGGCGGCGACGGGGCCGCGAAGGGGCCGCGAGGGGCCAGGAAGGGCGGCAAAGGGGCCGCGAAGGGGCCGCGAGGGGCCTGGAAGGGCGGCAACGGGGCCGCTAAGAGTAGCGCGAGGGGCACGCCACGGGGCGTGCCGAACACAGAGTAGCAGAGGAAGCAGTTAGGTGGGACCACAGGCCAGGAGCGTAGATGCTCTGATAGCATGTGAAGAATGAGGAATGTGAAATGAGAGAAGAGGGGGTTCACTAGCAAACATTGGGATACATATAGCAAACCCTAAAGGGTTGTACTCACTATAGAGTACCCCACTGCAGACTATAGAAACATAATATTCTGACAGACGAACCCCAGAAAACTTTGCAACTCGGTCAAGCTGGTCCGCGCGTGCCATGCTTATATCGTCGCGATCTTTTTTGGGTCTATTTCCACTCCTGCAGCTGAAATAGTGTGTCCCAAAAACTCCAATCGGTCCTGTAAAAACTCACACTTCGAAGCTTTGGTCAGTAGGCAGTTCTCACTCAGTATCTTAAAAACTGTATCAATATCCTGTAAGTGCTGTGCTCTATCGGGGCTGTAAATTAGTATGTCGTCCAGATACACGATGACACACTTATCTAAAAGCGGACGGAAGGCTTCGTTCATGGTCATTTGAAAAGTGGCGGGGGCGTTGGTCTGATCAAAGGGCATGACGGTGTATTCAAAAGATGCGTAGCGTGTTCAGAAGGCTGTCTTGGGGCAGTTGGGTGGGTTGACGCGAATCTGGTGGTAACCTCTCTGAAGGTTGATTTTCGAGAAAACCCGGGCTGTGCGCAGTTGGTCGATCAGTTCATCGGCTCGCGGAATGGGGTAACGGGATTTTATGGTAACCCTGTTCAGTGCTCTGTAGTCTATGCACATGCAAAACCCCCCGTCTTTTTTCAGCGTGAACAGTATCGGTGCTGCGAAGGGCGACAAACTAGGGCAAATGAACTCCTTCTCGAGGAGGTAATCCAGCTGCTTCCTCAGTTCGTCCAGTTCGGGTTGGGTCAGTCGGAACTGTCGCTATACTGTCGGCTGTGCCCCCGGTTCTAGTTCTATCCTGTGGTCGTACGGTCGCTGAGGTGGCAGTCCCGTCGGTAGGTCGTCCGGGAAAATGTCACAATACTGCTTCAGTATTGCTGTCAAATCATCCGGTACGTCGGCTAGCAGTTTCTGTAAATCCCCTCCTTTGTCTGCTGCTTCGGCTTCCCGAATGTCAACCGTGTACACGTCAGCTCTTGCCGCTATGGCGCATTTCATCGTGATCGCGTTGACACGCACCGACGAAGACTCAAGGGAGCCCTAGCAAGGTAAGGCGATGTTCTTACCGTTTACTCGCACGGTGCAGTCACCCGTCGTCCAGTCGATTCGCGGATTGTGTCGTCGCAGCCAGTCATGCCCGTATAAAATATCGGTTCCGTCGAGGGTCGTTGCGAGCATTTCCTGGCTAAACGTGAAGTTACCCCCGCATTGAATCCGAACCCGGTCCACACGTTCCCGTATCGCCAGTGGCGTGCCGTCGACGTCAATCTCAGGTAAACATCTGTCCAGTGGCAGTCGCATTTTTCGTGCTGTGGCAGTGTTGATAAGGTTGTGGCTGGCCCCTCCGTCTACGAAGATTTTAACTAAGTCTGTCCCGATTTTCCCACTGAGCAGTATGGGGTTGTCTAACGTAGTACCCTCCTTATTCGGCCAGATGTGGTCGATTGCGTGAACCGGCACAATCACTAGGTGAGGGTCGGTTGTGTCGGGCGAGCGGCGTGACCTGTCAGTAGAGGGTTCGTCTGCTACTGACTCCCAGCGTTTCCCTGCTGCTTGGTCTGTTTCTGTTGCTCAGCTTCCCCCTTTCCCTTAGTGATTTCCGGGCATTCGCTCTTGCGGTGTCCCGGCCGATTGCACGCAAAGCAGCGCCCTTTGAACGGTGCGGCAGCGGCATTTGCGGCGACGGCACGTATCATAGCGCCCTCGTTCGTCCCACGAGGCCGATGTCCCCAATAGCTGCTTCCGTAGGATCCCGGTCTCGGTCGGCGGAAGAAATCGAGCTTCTCCGCCATAGCGACAATTTCCTGAAAATTGGTGACGCCGCGGAGCTGGATTTCCTGAGCGATGTCCTGCTTCAGGCCGCCAATGTAACGGTCGATGCGCTTGCTCATGTGCATGTATCCTGCCTGCTCGCATAGCGCCAGAAATCCGCTCGTGTAGTCCTGGAAGGAACCGAGTTGGCGCCAAGTGCGGACCTTCTGTCGCGCCGCGATCGAGGCCGCAACTGTCTCGAAACGAGCGCGCAGACCTACGCACCACGCGTCCCACGTGCGATACTGGGACACCTCCACAAAATACGACGGCGCCCAGGGTCCGGTTTGTCCTTCCCGTGTCGGTAGAGTCGCGTAGTCTGCCGGCTTCGTGACGATGACACGCCACCAGTCCATGGCGGGTCCTCGCAGCAACGACACGGCGTAACGGATCTTCGTCGTATCCTCCGAGACGTAATTCGCGTCGAAGAAAACGTTCAACGTGAATAGCCACGCCTGAAGGGTAGGACCACCCCGTTGACGTAGGTCAAAACACGGCGGACGCTGCGGCTTCAGCGGCATCGGCGACGGTAGAGTTGACTCGCCGGCCGGCACGGAAATCGTGACTCGAGGTTGACTTCTGGCCGCATTCGTCGGGTCGGGGTGTGACGTGCCATGGTCGTCGTCTCCGTCGTGACGGACGACGCCATCACTGGCCGCACTTGCGGGTTGCCCCAGGCTTCCGTGTTGCGATGTTTGTGGTGCGGGCTGTATCGGAGTGCCAGGTGCTTGGGATTGTGCTCGTGCTCGTTCCGCCGTTAATGCCGCGATTTCTTCATAGCTTTCGTACAGTTGTCACAGCAGCTCGTCCAGGCGGTTCTGCGTAAGGGTGGTGACGTCGATGCGTTCGGCCATTCCGAAGGGCGTCGGCTCGTCTTAGTCTAGGCGCAGTCGTGGCTGCACACATTTACGAGAGAACGCGAGGACAGCGGCTCCTAGGGGCTAAGGTGCGTGAGTCCCTTCGAGTGAAAAACCAAAAGTTGGTTTCCTGGGGTGCGGAGATGCGCGGTACGGAAAGGAAAGAGGCTCTGATGAGAAACTGATCTAGAATGGAATGAGTAAGGGAAAGTTGGGTACAAGAACAAACCCTAGAAAGATGTACCCCATATGTGCTACCCCACTATAGCCTACAGTAGCTATGTCATATGAATCTGACACACCCCCATAGGCAAAGTGGGGGAGAACAAGGGGTCACAAGACCAGTCAAGCAAAGCAAAGCAAGCTCAGGGTGGATCACAAAGTCACCACACATTCCGAGCACAAGTTCAAAGCCTTAAGGCCAGTTCACATGCAGGATTACATATATATATAAGGCTAGACAAGCAAGAGCAGGTGTGTATATATATGGAACAGTACAAACAAGGTCAAGGGGTGAGCAAGTGAGGCAAGGTAGGCACAAGACCCAGCTGAGTACAGAAGCGCTGATGATCACACAACGCAAGTGCCTTGGTGAAGATATCAGCAGTGTTGGCCTCAGAGGCCACGTACGCAAGGCGCAGCTGACCGCGCTGCTGTAACTCAGGAGCAAGGAAGTAGCGGAGAGCAATGTGCTTCGTTCTATGCTCCAGTCTCTGCTCTCGACACAAGGCCAGCATGGCCTTGTTGTCTACGTACAGCATTGGAGGAGAACGAGGCGGCTCTCCGAGGTCAGTCAGCACGTAGGTGAGCCAGCGAAGCTCCTGTGCAGCCATGGCCCCGGCGTAGATCTCAGCCTCACAACTGGAGCCGAGAACAGAAGACGAGCGGGTAGACCGCCACGAAACAGAGCCGGAGCCAAGGCTGAAGGTGTAACCCTGTGACGACCGCTGCGTAGCCTGGTCGTCAGCCCAAGAAGCGTCTGCGTGACCTGTGAGGACCACTCGATGTCGCCCTCCAAGCACTAGCCCCATGCTCGACGTACTGCACAAGTAGCGCAACACCCTCTTCGCTGCAGCCATGTGCTCTGGTCGGTGTCTCCCAGGAGCAACATAGCGTGCCAAGATGCTAAGAGGGTATGCAAGGTCAGGTCGAGTGCAGGTCATCAGGTACATGAGGCAGCCAACAAGCTCTGGGTACGGGCCACTCGGCTCTACGGACTCATCCGAAGGCAGAGCTGAGAGCGAGTGGCGAGTAGGCAGAGGAGTGGCCTGAGGCGAGGAGTACGTGAAGCCGATGCGCTGAAGGACCTGCTGCACCATGTGTGACTGAGTCAGGGTTATGGTGCGGCGTGCTCTATCCCGGGTGATCTGCAAGCCAAGGTAGCAGCGCAGTTCACCCAGGTCTGTGCACGTGTGTCTCTTCTGCAGCTCGGACTTCACGTGGGCGAGTCCAGCAGTGTCAGCTGTGGCAAAGACCAAGTCGTCGACGTACTCGAGGATGTAGATCGGCGGCAAAGAAGTGTCGGTGCGCAGAAACAGCGACGGGTCGGCAGTAGAGGGAGCAAACCCAAGAGCCGCAAGTGTAGTCCTCAGTGTGTCGTGCCACTCACGCGGTGCCTGGCGGAGACCATAGACTGGCCGCCGGAGGCTCCACTGGGTGCCACAAGGAAAAGACCCAGTGAAACCAGGTGGGCGACGCAGCCAGATCTCCTCGTGCAGGCTGCCCTGCAAGAAAGCAGTGCTGAAGTCAAGAGAGTGCAGCTCGTAGTCACGGTCAGAAGCTATGTGCAGCAGTACCCGAAGAGTGGTCATCTTCGGGGTGGGAGAGAAGGTCTGAAAGTAGTCAACTCCTTGCCGCTGACTAAAGCCTCGAGCCACGTAACGCGCCTTAAAGACAGGCGGAGAACCCGGCGGCCGCTTCACCCTGAAAATCCACATGCCACTGACGATGTTCGCCCCAGGCTGGGGAACCTCGTCAACGTAGGTGCCTGTGGACTTCCAGGAAGCCATCTCTGTGTCCATAGCTGCCTGCCACTAAGAGGAGTAGGGACCCTCTATCGCCTCCGCGTAAGAGCGCGGAGTCGGGATGTCAAGTGCATCCGGGTCTCCCTCAAGGGTAAGCAGTACGGACACGAGATGAGGTGAAGCAGCAGCCAAACACTGGAACTCCTCCTGCCTGTCCTCAAGGACGTCCGTGCCAAGGGTACACTCACCCCCGACGGACGGAGGACAGATAGACTCAGCGACAAGACTACTAGCGTAGTCTAGACGACACCGAGAAGCGAAGTCGACGAGCTCAGAAACTAGGGCAGACACAGCAGTGGACTGAAAGGAAGGGTCAGTGACGACAGTAGCAAGGAGACGCGCGACAGTAGGACTG